GTTAAAAAACAAGAGTCTGCAGGAGATCCAGAGTGTTTCACGACTGCGAACGAAGCAAACATGAACTTTTGTAAATATTAAATCAGTTAAATGCAAAATATGGAAATACATATTTACAGCCATAAAATGAAGATCCTCTGAAATCAGGATTGTGATTCTGCAGCTGTTTAAGACTGAATACGAATTATTAGTAGAAGACGTCGACACAGAGATCCTTCAAAACCATTATTTGTTAAATTGCAGTTGTTGAAATTCACTAAATTAGTAGATTTCAGTATATTGCAGATTATCTATAAAGCTAATTGGAAACCATTGGAAAGAGAAAGTTGTTATAATTTAAAAGGATTTGAAATATTTAAAAAGATTCAGAACTAAACTGAAGGAGCGCAGAGTTACAGTGAGAGGAATAAGTTTGTGGAACAATCTGAACAAAGAAACTAAAGAAGCGAAATCAAAATTTATCTTCAAAAAAAGTGTCAAAGTCAGTGTGTTGAATAAATACAGGGAAATATGTTCATCTAAGTCTGTGTTTGTTTGTTTTGTGGAAAAATGTGAATTAACCTCATCTTTTCTGTTTGTTTTATGAAATTAGTAACAATGTTGGCCTGCAGCTCTTGTTTATTTTCATTATGTGTCTAATTGATTAATATATTATGAATGAAGGGCAGACTCTTCTTTCTGCTCCTTTTCATTCACATGTTTGAGATTTTTCCTTGTTTGTATTGAATGTTTTAAATATCAACTGAATGAAATAAAGTGTGAAAATAAAAAATGAAATGAATAAATGAAGCATTAAACAAAAATTGTACGTGGTGATTACAAAAAAAAGTAATTTCAGTTTTTATCGATTGTGGCGCCCCTAGTGGACAAATTGGTAACTGTGTTTTACATATCAGTTGAATAAAGTAATTTTATCATCACTAAAATGTTTCTCTCATTATGACTTGCTGCAAAAAATGTAGCATTCAGGTTGTCAGCTGAACCGCCCAAGTTCTTAGGAAATAAAATATTAATCCTGCTTTTCCACAGCAGCTAAAAATTTGCAAAAAAAAAAAGGAAACAGTCTGTCTAAAACCTTACATAAGAACCCTGTTTTTATGATTTTAAAGACTTCTTTTTTTTCTTTTTGCTTTCAGTCAAACCAGGCGAATCGTCCGCACATATAACTTCTTTTAATCGCCGCTGTGGGCTGGAGAACAGCGCATAAAGGAAAAGTTGTGTGTCATACATGTGCTGTGAAGGCTCCAGTAATTTCTACAGGTCATTATGTTATTACTGCAAATGGTTGAATATTTGTGGATAATGGATGACATTTAGACCCTGCTGCCTGTTCGCTCTGAAGTCTGCATGTTGGGGAAAATCTCAGATAAATTCAGCTCTAAAAACTTCCTGAAGAAAAACAGCGACTTTACCATCTCCCTCTGTACGGACTCTGACATTAGAGCTGTTTACCCTGAAGAAAAGCACATTTATGTTTGACTTAAATACTTCTGCCGTGTTTCTCCCTCACAGTTTAAGATGCAGGAGTGTGGCTGGAAAAACAAGCTCGACCTGGATTTCTTTGAGTTTTAGAGAGCAGGGTCAGGCTCTGGTTGTTCTGGTTTTAGAGGCAAACATCCCTCACTCCCTCTACTGTTGGTGCTTGGTACTGCACTCTCTGATAATTCATTCTGACCCTCACTCTTTGACGGGCAGCTTTTCAGCGGGCAGCGTGTGCTCCCTCTAAATAATCGGGGTAGATGGATGTGCTGTTTTTGTGCTCTCCTCTCATGACTCATCGTCATGGTAACAACAGAGCCAGAGCTTAGGGTTAAACCACCTGAGAGGACGAGCACGAGGGAGAACAGGGGCTCATTTTCCATCAGAGTGTGCAATAAATCTGGTTTAGAGAGTCCCAGAGAGCCACTGACTCTGGTTTAGTGATCTGATATCATGATATCATTGAGGATCATATTAGGAGCAGAGACTGAGAGGAAGACTTAGAGCGTCGCACACACAGGACAGGACAGGAAGTAATGACACAAAGAGCACAGGTGGCTTTTTTGGTTTCTGTCATTTAGGTTTTCTTTTCCTTTTTCACGTCTCACTCTTTACTTGTTTTTTTACAGGTGCAAGGTAAAATAACCAACATGTGATTTCAAACTAACTGAATAGAGGACCATATTTGACATGAGATAAAGTCTGCTGAAGACATTAAAGGATTCGAGGATTAAATTAGTGAAGTACATTAGTGCCAATCTCTAAGAGGCTCTTTAAAGGTAGAAACAACAAGCTTGGACGCCTGGCTGTGAACATGTAAAAGGTATGTTGAGGGTGAAAGGACCTGGAACACATTAGCAGGTTTGTGAAAGTTACATTTACTCGTGTCTCGAAATAGAAACATGAATGCAGATGCAGTCTTTTAGATGTCACCTCTCAGGACACCAGTCAGACTGTAAACAAAGGCGCCACATAGTGTATATATATGTATATGTGTGTATGTATGTTTGTACGTGTATGTATATGTATATATATAGTTATTATTATTATATAGATATTCCAATGTAATCCAATTAAGATTTTTTTTCTTTTCTTTTTAAATTCTCTATAACATATTATATAAATTCTTTCCCCCTCCCCTCCCTCACAAAAGTATTTTTGTAAATTTTTTATTTTTTTATCTTTTTGTTGTTGTTGTTTCTGTTGTTGTCGTCACTCTGTTTTTTTGTTAAATAAAAAAAACAAAACAAAACAAAACAAAACAAAAAAAACAAAGGCGCCACACAGATAAGTAAACTTTGGCTGAGAGTCTTGAAAACTTAGTCATTACATCCAAAGAGAAGCTGATGAGCTCAAAGAAGAGAAGATTTTATTTTAATGATCAAGTAGAAAATGTTGTCTGTGTTTGAAAGAAATTAGCCCAGACAGGATTAATCGTTTCGGCACCATGGAGAGATAATCGGACTGATGAGCTGTCCGCGGTGCTGAAATCCTTCATCACTCTGCTCAGGCTTCAGGAATGTACCTGAACGGTTCAGCCGTATATTTTTCACATATCCGTCCAGAAGAATTTAATTCTGTCTCCATGCCTTTACTCGCTCTCCTTCCTTCTCCGCAACAATAAAAGATCTTGGCTGACCGAGGTGAGGGTCGCCATGGAAACATCAGGTTGCTTCAGGACATTAACCGAGAAACCAATTACTAAACAAACACCATGCTCACAAAGAGTGTAATAAGTCCTGTGATTTATAAAAGTAACATAATGAGGATTATTGTCCCTCTCAGTAAAATCTTCATAACCAGCATCATCCTCGTGAAATAAGACAGAGAGCTGCTGCGTTGAATTTTACCTGATAAACACCAGGAGAAATTAACACGGTTTACAAACAATAACAGCAGAAAAAGTGGACGATTGTTTGAGGACATGTGGACCCCCAGATAACATCGGCGTCCGCTCTCAGGTTACATAGCGCGTGTATCATCCCTGTCATCATTTCCAGGTGGTTATCTTCCGAGCAGATCTCCCAGCGTAGCTCTGTCGGGGACTCACATGCTTCATAATGATAATACAGCTGTGGCCTGACCTGGTCACGGCGGATCAATAACACAGACAGAGGGATGAGGACGATCAATGAAGAAGAGAAAAGCACATATAGACGGGGATCCTGGTAGAGATCACAAGATAAGAGGAAAAGCAACTTTTGTCCAAACTGAAACATGTGTCCATCATGAACTGGTATCAGCACAACAATAAACCTGATCTTTGTTTTTAAGACATAATACTGCTAATTTAACGGATATGATTAAGTTTTGGAGTGCTTCACCAAACACGAATAACGACCACAAGTCACAGACGCACCTATTCATCAAGATTAGATCATTGACAGGGGCACATCAAGGTTTTTTTGACCGGGGTGGCCCATCTAGAGTACCACAGAGGTGGCCTGAAGTATCGACGCACAAACACACAACTGATTTTCACGTCACGGCGTGTGGTTGCACTAATCCTAAATTTGAAGTGTGACATCCTGGAACATGTTGATAATATAGGATGTAGGGAGAAACTTTAGAAATTTATTACACAGAATATCTGGACGCTGAAGCATGGTGGATAAATTCAGCGCAGAGAAACCCACGCGGGAAAGGAAGTCGGGCACAGACACAAAATAAAACATCCGGCTTCTTTTCAAAATAAAACAGTGTGTTTCAGGAGGATCGTATTTCACACCATGCAAACGGGCGGAGACGAACAAGTGAAAGGTTTTTAGACGTCATTTCACCCCGATGACACCATGGATGAGGAGATGCTGATTCTCGAAGTCTAGAAGTAGATTTCCTCCTCTGGAAGGACACAGTCTACTGCTAATATGGTTAGCCTATCTGGCTAAAAAGTTATCTTGCGACTGAACATGAATCCGTGGGTTCTTGTGAGTTCTCGCGGTTCCTGCTGTCTGTAATCCGCCACAAAATTCGCCTCACAAACGGATCCGGTAGGAATTGGCGTACGGCAAAAATCGCCACCATTCCGGATCGGAGCTGTTCCAGATGCGGTGGAAATCCCGGGTAACTCGACAGACAATAACGTTTCACAGCCATAAGGAATAACCAATTGGAGCCCAGCACTTCTAGCCAATCAGAGGCGAATCATCCTACGAAAAAAAATCCTGCTTCTGGGAAATGGAGAAAATCCCGGAAATACCGAGAGCTTTTCGGCTTCAAATTCTTATAACCATGGACGGCGGAAGCAAGTTGTCCATAGTAAATACAGTCTATGGTTTCCACCGAATAAAACATCTTAGGGCCACACCTGTACAGGTATGTAAACTGAAATCACTTGAGTATTTTAAAAAGCTCCGGGACGGCATGTGTGAAACTTAGTAAACGAAGTATTGAAGATTAAATCAGATATTTTTGATAAACCTGTATTTTTAGAGGATTCTGTGATGACTTGTTCGCTGTAGATGAGTCTGCTTGTTCACCCCTAGGATCAGTGGGAACTCTGGACAGGTATTGGTGGACTCACTGCTCTGACGTTGTCTCTGCAGGCAGGGAGCAGATTCAGAGCTTCATTTAACCTCCATTCATGAGAAGATCCACCCTCAGCCTGACCTGCACGTGAAGGATATGTGCTGCTGTATCTTTTCATGCTGGTTTTGAACTTTCCTTCAGTAGAGGAGAAAAGATGGAGCTGGACTTGGAAAACCAAAGTCTGTCTTTCAGCAGCAACACCGTGAGGCTGCAGGGGAAGCACATAGTCCTGGGGATGGGTGTGGATAACTTTGTCTCCCTCCTCATTTTCGGGCTCATCTTCATCCTCGGTGTGCTCGGGAACACGCTGGTGATCACGGTGCTCGCGCGCAGCAAACCGGGACAGCCGAGGAGCACCACCAACATCTTCATCCTGAACCTGAGCGTGGCAGACCTGTCCTACCTCCTCTTCTGCGTGCCCTTCCAGTCCACCATCTACATGCTGCCCACGTGGGTGCTGGGAGCCTTCATCTGCAAGTTCATCCACTATTTCTTCACCGTGTCCATGCTGGTCAGTATCTTCACCCTGTCCGCGATGTCCGTGGACCGGTACGTGGCCATCGTCCACGCCAGGAAATCCTCCTCGATCCGGGTGAGGAGGCACGCGCTGCTCGGAGTGGTCCTGATCTGGATCCTGTCTCTGGTGATGGCAGCGCCGGTTGCGCACTACCAGAGCATCGTGGAGAGGGAGGATAACAACACGTTCTGCTGGGAGGTCTGGCCGGACCACCAGAGGAAGGTCTACGTGGTCTGCACCTTCGTGTTCGGATACCTGCTGCCTCTCTGTCTGATCTCTGTCTGCTATGCAAAGGTGGGTGCGCGTGGATCGGAGTGAATAACGCGCGTAAATCTTCTAATCAGACTTCAGATTATCCATAATAGAAATAAACATGAAGTGAATTAATCATTTAGCAAACTGAGTGGGCAAAACATGATTCAAAATGTCAAGTTTTCGTTGATATTTGTGCGTAAAAACAACTTCACAGACGCAGCATTTGGCTCAATATCTATCCAAGCAGAAACACTATAGGCTCAATAAAAACGAATTAATGCTGTTTAAACCATTTTAAAGAGATAATCTTTATTTCTGATTTATTTCTGTGTTGTTGCAGGTCTTAAAGCATCTGCACAAAAAGCTGAAGAATGTCTCCAAAAAGTCCGAGCTCTCCAAAAAGAAGGTAAGTGGATGATAATGGTGTGAGAAATGCAAAATACTCAATTACAAAAGAGGAGAACTTTAGTTTAAGAAAAAAGCTTTTACAGTAATGATCAACTATCTTATAATTAAAGCAAAGATGCCTCATATATGTTTGTTTTTCAGATGAAAGCTAAAGCTCAATCATTTTCTTACAGACAGAAAAAAGTCTCACCATCGGTTAGTTTGACTTTTTTAAACAAAGGCTGTACAGTATATTAAACTACAAATGTCCACAAACTGTGAAGCCAAAGGATCTAGAGCTCCCCCTAGTGGCTGCCTAATGAACACACACTCTAAATCTTTTTTAAAATTACGATCAGTCTCATAAAATTACAAATGCAAATACTAACAAAGCTCATCAGTGAGTGTTATCCTTGACCAATGAGCCTTTTCTGCTCTTTATAGCTTCATCATTTCTTCCAAACACGGTCACTTTTGGCTAAAAAAAGCCCCAAATTAAAAACGTTAGCTTCCAAAACAAATAATTATGGTCCTGTGTCCAAAATAATTTAACTGCAGGGCTGGACAGTGCAACCGTTTTACTCGCATTTGCAATTAAAAATAGATGTGTGTGAATTGTAAAATGTATTACGGGGCGCCATAAAAATCAGCCGAAGTTTTTTCATGTAAATACGGCGGGGAAGTTAGTTTTCAGTTGGATATCCGACGGACATTCACTGCAGATCTAACGGTGTCTTCTCACTCTCCAGAACCGGGAATAACAACAGCAGTGTGGTTAAACCTACTGTGTTTTTCAGTCGCACAGTATCAGCCTGACGTTGTTTTCCTGATTATCTGAAAGCCTGATCACTTGTTCCCACTCCATCCACAGACGGCTCAGACAGTCCTGGTGGTGGTGGTGGTCTTCTGCCTGTCCTGGCTGCCTCACCACATCGTTCACCTGTGGGTGGAGTTCGGCTCCTTCCCCCTGAACCAGGCCTCCTTCGTGCTCAGGATGGTGGCTCACTGCCTGGCCTACAGCAACTCCTCCGTCAACCCCATCATCTACGCCTTCCTGTCCGAGAACTTCAGGAATTCCTACAAGCAGGTGTTCTGGTGTCAGATCCCCAGCAAGTGTCCGGTAAACGACACCAGGGAGCCCCGCAGCAAAGCGGAGGCTCCGCTGTCGAACATCAGCGAGAACATTAAATGTCAGGACTCTCAGATCACGAAAAAACTCTAATGTTCGGAGAGTCTGTGGAGAGCATCAGTGATTCTGGAGAAAACAGAGGTAGTGTACAGACCAACACGTTGTCTCAAGAGGTCTGGGAAACTTGATGATCCGCCACAACGTTGACCTGATAAAGGGAAATGGACTGGACTGGTTCAAACTCAAATGAGCCTCTGAAGACCGAAAGTGTGGACCAATCCACCGAAAACAGATGTCCTATAAATCCTTTGAGTCCCGTTTGCAAACGTGTTTCTAAAAATTCTCCAAACTGAACTCATCCATGTTGAAAATGTCTGAATAAATAAAGAAATGTGACAATGACCTCTTCATCGATGAAGACATGACAAGCTCAGGTGAAGTTTGCACCAAGTAAAAATGCGACAAACAAATTTCTGCTTTTCTTTGCAAATAAGGTCAGACGATGTGAATTTGGACAGATTTATTCTTCATGCCTCTCTTTGGTGAAAAGATAAACAAAGGGAGCGAAACACAGACTGATAGGCCTGTAAAAAAACAGCAAATCCAACATCCAGCATCTCTACAGCTCGGTATCCAGTGTGTTATTTCACGTCTTTTACTGACCATGACATAAACAGTAAAAAAAGGTCATTTTGTCGTGTTTAAGATACAATATATCGTTTTATTTTTGACCCTGACAGACGTTTCATCGCCCCGTCTTAGAGCATTTACCGTCTCTGAATCGTACCCAAAATAAGTGATGAATAATGTTTAGTGACTTTCAGACTTCAAAGCAGAAAAAAAAAGATGATTACCACAAGTTGAAGAAAACTGGACAGCGCCCTCTTGTGGACTCAAATACCTGTATTGAAATTGGGAACACGAAAGTTTGATTTCACTGGCCTGTTTTACAGTTTTAGGAAAATATTGGATTTGATTTTGTTTTAATATGAAGTGAATATTTAGTGTCTGTCTGGGTATGAAACTATGAACTATAGTTTCCAAAAGTAACGTCAGTGTTTTTTTTTTATCTTCATAATCTGGTTCCTTCAAATTTAGGAACAGGAGTGTTTCTATATTCCTCTGAGAAAAACTCAGTTATGATAAGTTATCATCATCTTAACTTTTGTTTAAATTACTCGATCTTTAGTGAGGTCAGGTGTTTTTAAGATTAGATTCCTCCTGTGACAAATCTTCAAATGAGAACTTTCTTTTAGACCAATCTAACTTTTCTGATATAAACCAAATCTCTGCTTTTTACCTTCCTTTACATGTTTCTATGATAATATTGGAAAAACTTTAATGAAACGAGAAATTTGAGCTTCATCTGATTTTACCAGAGGAAAACATTTTCTCTGATGTACGTTATGTAGACGTTACTCGAGTAAAAGTAAAAATTCAGAGCCAGAATATTTAATGTATCCTGAAGGGAAACTCAGGAATGCTCCTTGCATTGGCAGGGACTCGAACCCTCAAACCCAGCATGGCAGATGAGGGTTCAATCACCAAACCGTGAAACTGCTGGTTTTAAAGGTGCTCACCGTTCTTTAGATTGATTATTTAAGACACAGTTGGTGGTCACGGTGTCCTGGAGTGTGTTTTATTTAAAGGTGTTCCTAATATTTTGTCCAGTCCATTAACAAACATGAGGTCTTATTAAACACTTTCCCAAATCTACACTCTGAGTTTATCTTTTAGTGTTAGAATAACTCAGACTTCTTTTTTATCGAACTCTGGCAGATTCACCGTGTAAGATCCTGAAACAGGAAATCTGATGGAGGATTTTCAGCTCCTTCACGGTCCACATGTGTTCAGATCTGATCAATTCCAACGTAATTCTGATGCATCATTAACATGGAGACGAGATTACTGTCAATAATGTTACTTGGATATAAAACAGTCACCTGAAAAACGAACATCCCTGAGGAAGTACGGAGCTGCTTTCAACGATCCAACTTTTGGGACCTTTTTGTGACTCTTTGGTGTCGGTTCAGATCCAACAGAACTTTCATTTAACACTGAATAAACACTGCTGTTCAACTGATGTGAAACTTAACCCATTTATTGTCATTTTATGTGCATTTATTTAAAGTTTTAAAGTTACATTAAACTCCCAAATCCTCATTTTCCTTTAAATGTCTGATTGTTGATTTAAAGCAGCTTTAGAGCTGATGTTTCATTAAAGTGGGTGGACACAAAAGCTGTAGAGGACAAAAGTGAAAAAAAGCGTCTTTTCAAGGTGCAGGTCGTAACTTTGTGCTTACTTTCATCGTCCTCAGTGTCCAGGAGGAGCTCAGGAGACAAAAGAAAAGACAGACAAAGATTAGTTTGAGAGAAAACAACAAAACAACAGCTGATATGATATATATGTTCTGTTCATTTAGTTTTCCCTGGTTTTGTCCTTTGAGTGTATTTATCCTCGTGTTTCTGCTCCCTATCGTTCCTGTGATCTTAACTTGTGAGTTTCAGTTTGTGTCTGACTGTTTCCCTCTTGTTCTCAGTGTTTTATTCTTTAAATCAGTTTTCAGTGTTTCCTGTTTTATTTTGTAGTCGTCCATCCTTGTGTTTTTAGTCTTGTTTGACTTCCTCAGTAATTGTCTACACCTGTGTCTCTCACCTGTTTCTTTGTTGGTTCACTGATCTGTGAGTCTCGACTCTCCTGGTGTTTTTTTTTCCCTTCGATGTCTTTTGTTGAAAATTTTCTCCTTGTGTTTTTTTAAAGTAAGTTTTTGTTGTTCCAAGTTTAGTCTTTTATTTATCATATCCTCTTTCCTTTTTGTTAAACCCTGACTCATGAGAAGCTCTACCTCAAATTCTCCTTTCAGGAAGCTTCTGAATTTTCAGTCCATGTTGACCGGGTCAGAAAGGTCAAGACTTCATGTTCACGGTGAAACTACATTTGCATTTCTCTGAAAAGATCTGATCTCCTGCACCACTTCCTCCCTCTGTGATCTATTTCATGCATTTTGGCTCTTGCAGCAGATTTTGTCCGATTTGTAGCCCTAAACGCGACACAGAGGACCACCTCAAGAGAGAGTAAGATGTGAAGCTTCTGAAAATGAGCGAAAACAACTCTTTTTGTAATCAAAGTTCAGATTTAATAAGCGTCTCCTTCAGGTTTAGACATTTAATGACGGGCTCTGAAAAACACAAAAGGCACCATTATCCAGATCAGAGAAAATCAGTGATATCACGTCTACTGTAAGCTCTGATGTCTTTAAGTTTAATGTGCATGTAGAGTAACAGCATAGAACCACAAACTAATAGATAATACTGCAAACACATCATGGATCCACTCATAGACAGTACAGCATGTTCTCCTGTCGACCAGAACAGTGTGGAGCCTGTCTGTCTGTCTGTCCGTCTGTCTGTCGGCACAAATTGAGATTGTATCCTGTTTATCCCTGAGGCAGATGTCAAAGAAAAGGACTCCAGTAAAGCACTAAAACTATATCTGCTCTTCTCTCCTGCAGTCATACAAAAATGGACTTTTATTCAATTCCTGCTGCTGCTGCAGAAAAGACTGGAGGAGGATTTGCAGATGAACGTCAGTAATTAGAGGTAAACTCGACTGTAATGGTGTCTACTGTTAATAACAACCGAAACGCAGCTCTCATTATCAGAAGGAGCTGTGTGATCATGAGACGATCAGATCAATTACACCGAAGTGAAAGAAAGACGAGAGCTGCTGCAGGTGTTATCTCCACCAGCCTCCTCAGTTTGAATTCAGTCAACATCAGAAAAATCAGCTGTTCTCATTTCTGCAGAAACACGTGAGTAGAGCTGCACTTGGTGCAAAAATCACTTTGACTTTAAAGAAGCGGGTTTTTGTACATGTTACAGGTGAACTGTGAGAAATAAAAGGACAAACTTCAGTTCACAGAGCTTTAACCCTAGAACACTAACACTAAAATTAGTAACACCATCACTATCGCCGGGTGATTTTTACCCGAAATAATATACCCAAGAAAAAGTACTTGATCTAAACTGATTCCTGAACTGTTCAGCTGTGTATCAGTTCAGGAGGTCGGAGTCACAGGCTGCTCCCGCTAAACGATTCGGTGATTTAGTGAACAAATCTTTTGAACGAATCTTTTTAGTGAACTGATTCTAGTGATTCAGTACATCTAAAAAAAAACTGCCGTGCCCATCACTACACCCATTCCTTGGTCATGTGAGTCTTCCCTGCTTCAGACTCAGGGTCTTTGGCACAATAACAGCTGCAGGAGAGAGAACCAAAATATGACAGATTTGGAGTAAAAAATGACCGGCTGACTCAAATATTTCTTATCACCATCTGAATTCCCTTGAAAATCACTACTTTGTGATAATTATTCATAACCACTGCGCTAAATAAAGATAGCATGTAAATTCCAGGACCGCTCTTACTGACCTTATTCCCTACATGCAGCTATCAAATCCACCCAAACCTACTTTACCCTCTATCACTAAAATCAACCTGTGAACACGTGACTGTAGGAAAAAGCAGGTTTTGGATCTGGAACAAATATGTCTTCAAAGATGTCAAAGGAAAAGCTGAAGATACCCACAGACCCGTGATACTCAGACAAACGAACATCATGAAAATCACCCGGCGATAGTGTTCTAGGGTTAATGTTGCAGTTGGTGATACAAAAACAGTTTAAAACACACAATATATATATAATTTAATTGATAATAATATAACTTGTGTAAATGTCATTGATAGTTGGAGGTCACTTTGTGATTAGTAAACATAAAAACTGAGTCACTAACTGAGAAACTGTCACTCAGGTCTGTCGCTAACTCATCTAAAAATACAGATAGATTTAAAATGGACCCGTTAAAAAGCAAAATATAAGAAAAAACACACTGATAAAACTCTCCAAACACTCACAGTACATACAGAGTAATGAGGATGAATCTCCAGAAGCTTTTTGTCACTGCAGTACCGCTGAGAACCAGCAGATGGAGGCCTTTGACAAGATTTCCATCAGCTCTTTCTGTAATCATTCCTCTGTTTTTCTTTCTTTTTCATGTATTCTTTATTTGTCCTTTTTCATTTCTTTGATTTGAACTCCTCTTTTCTCTTATCCACTATCGTTCGTTCTCTATTTTAGTTTTTCTGCTCCTCGGCAGGATAAAAAAGCTAAATTAACCAACCTGCTTCATTCCTCTCTGGTTATTTTGCTCTGTTGTTTTTAACTTCATCTGATTATTTGTCTCTGTGTCGTGTAAACCCGCCTCGGTTTCTCCCCCAGGGTTGGGAAATTCATTTGTAGATCATCTATGCTAATCAATAGCTCCGCCTGATAACCTCTCCCATTTCTCATTTCCCCCGGTGGCAGCTGAGGTCTCTATCCCTCCCCGGGGACCCCCACCACGCCTGTTCAAAGTGTCATAAATAATACGGGCTAATTAGATATGAATTGATCGCGTGTAGGTTGCGGTGCCTCTTTCATCCATCACTATAAAAGCTGTTTAACAATAGATTACCAGCCGATAAGTCCCAGAGGAGCCACAGGAGATGGAGCAGGAGGGACTTGAGCCTTGTTATGTTTGATGGGGGGGGGGGGGGGGGTCATAAATCTGCTGTATAACTAATATTACCCTCATCCTGGAGGTGGTGTTATTAACACAGAGGAGGTTATGACTCGTTCTTCATCCTAGAGGACCCGCAGTTTGTTTGTTCAGATATTTTCTTACATTAATCAGGACACTTCTCTCCAGGATTATAAGGTTCAACCATAGACTGTCTCTAACTAGTGTATCTGCATATATTTCAGGATATTGTTCATCCCTGCAAACCAACAGAATGAATGTAAACAGAACTGTCTTGATCATTTAGCATGCTGAAAAAAGTGGTCTCCTATGGTCAACTTACCCCGTGTATGGGCTAATTTGATGGCGTCAGCCCTCCCTCACCTTCTCTCTCCCTTAATAATGGTCTCTTCTTCACATTCATGTGTATTTTTATCTGTTTAATGCTATTCAGCTGGTACAATGTTTTTTATCATTATTATTGCATATAACTGCTAAAAAGCCGTTTTGTAAAAAGCTATTTTAACATGAGAATGTCTTTAAGTGATTCAGAACATTCACAGCTGTAAAAGTCAAACATTTCAACAATCTGAACGTAAACTCTGATCCTCCCATCAGACTCTTTTACTTTCTCAGTTACCCCTGAACTACTGTGATGACTTTATTAGTCCTCTAAGATAAAATGGTGGACTTTTATGTTATCTTATCATGTTGTAGCTCATAGAAACCACAGTTGATGTATAAAACTAATTTAAAATGATCATTTTTGGTCTGAACACAATTCTAATAAAACATTTGACAAACTAAATTCACTTTGAAGAGTGAAAAATGTTTATTTTTGTAAATAAATGTCTAACCCCTTCACCCATGTACTTCTAAACTTTACAGACTCCATGAATTGATGCCCATCTCCTAAATATTTGGTCACATGATCAATTTCTTTTATCATTTCTAAGCATATCGGTGTCTCAACTTACCCTTTGGCTCATCTTACCCCAGTCTCCCCTATAGAGTGGACGCCATTTGCCTCCTCGTTGGGTGAATCCACCGGAAGGACAGCAACCTCGGTGACCGGATGCTGTGTAGGTCATAAATCCCGCCTGCTTTGGCTATCCTTAGGGAGTTGTGGACAAACTTTAGAGATGTAGTTACTGTCAGACTAGTTTGTGCTCAAGTTCTACAGCCTATGTGGGCTTACGAAGATCGCGTACCTCACCCGGGGGATTCGTTGTTTGTGCCGAGCGTCATCACAGCGACTCTCGGCGACTCTCCCGCCAAACGCGCACAATGCTACTGCGCAACTGGTCGTTCCAGGAAGTGGAGAAAATCCCGGAAGTACCGAGAGCAATTCGGCTTCAAATTCGGACGATGACGGAAGGCGGAGGCAAGTTGTCCATACAGTCCAGGGCTGCCAAGTTTCAGAGAATGACAAGAGTGAGACTTTAGCATTATGGGTCCATGTATTATCTGTCTATTCGATTATGAGTCATTATTTTGTTTATTTGTTTTTCTGTAGAACCAAAAAATAAAAAAATAGTGTTTGTTTTCATATTTTCAGCCCGATTATTATTTTGTTTTCGTTTCCATCTCTTTAATATTTTCTGTATTGAACTGAAAATACAAAAACAAACGCTAATCTTTTATTTTTGGTTATATAGAAAAACAGAGAAATGTTTACTTATTTTTTCGTTTTTCATTTACTAGATTGAATGGAATAATTGAATGGACAAATAATACACAGACTGTAATGATGTGTTCAGCATGGCGAATTTTTTTTCCGAATTTTTCTTTTTTAACATCGATTTATACCTTAAGACTGATGTCCTCACCTCCATGCCAGCCGCTCTTCCTAATGCTAGTCCTAATTTACCAGGAATTAGAAATGAAAATTGTAACAAGAATTTCGACAAAACACTTTAATTTGTCAATATCGCATTTCAACCAACTCTCCATCATTTAGGTGGGGACACGCTAGTTCGAGAAGCCAAGACCCGCCTTACGTTGCTTCTGATTGGTTTATATTGCGTGATGCATTCGTGGTTGGTTAGATTTAGGCACAAAAGACTGATGGATTGGTCTGGGATTGGTTATCTTGGTCATAAAAAAATAAATACAGAGTATTGAATGGGGAAATATAAGCGTGAGAAATGTAAAGTGTGGTGTGAGAATGGGTCAAATTGCGTGACTGTCACACTCAAAGCGTGATGCTCGGCAGCTCTGCAGTCTATGGGTTCAACATTTACATACTACAGTATGTCAGCTACTGTAGATCACTCATCTTGGAGGTCACCCCGGCCTGTGAGTCTGGCTCTGCTCTGCTGCTGTGGAAACTTTTTCCTCCTGTGAGAAAAAGCTTGACTTATAATTTATATCTTTTTCTGTCTGTGTGTATTTCTCAAAAGTATCTCTGCTCCAGTTGTGACACAGATAACAGGACGAGAGGTTTGATCTCTATCCACCTGCTCTGGACTCCTCCTCAGATTTCGGAGTGTGCAGCTCTCTCTCTCTCTCTCTCTCTCTCTCTCTCTCTCTCTGCAGGTCTGGCTGTCAGCCTCTCTGATTAATGGCCCTGCTGAAACATGTCCAGCCACATTAGAGCCCCATGTATCTCCCGGAGTCCACACAGGCCCGGCTCTTTGTTCTGATGGGAAATGGTGTCAGCCGCTCACTGCTGCTCTCCCAGAAACAGATAAAGATTTACTGTCATCAGAGGCCAGATTAAAGCGCACAAACGCAGACATTGATTTCTGAGAGGGAGAGAGCGGGAGGAGAGAGAGAGAGAAAAAAACCCACACATTTTGGGGAGGAAACTCATTCCAGGGCTGGCGGAGATATGATCAGCTTATTTGGGAGGTGGATAATATGGAGCCCTCTCCTAGAATGAACTTTGAAAGAAGTAAATTGTAAATATTGATTTCTGAAATGAACTGTCAATCTCACTTGGCGAGATTATTCCTATCATCTTGTTGAGAGTGGGGCCGATGAATTCAAAACGGCGGACAAAGAGAGGGACGTGCTTGATTTCTGTTAGCGGGCGCTCAAAGGAGCTTTATTCACTTAGTAATGGTTGTTCAGTTTCATCAGATAACAGCTGAGATCTCATCGCAGCAGAAAAACATGAAACCGACTGTGACTCCACATCCACAGTACACTGGAGGGGAGCTGCTGATGGAGCCCAACGACCACAAAGACCAGGATCCTGCCTCACTCAGGGGTCAAGTGTGGGGGTCAGCTAAGGGCAGAGTCACTGAGAAGAGTGAAAAACATCCAGATTTACCTTCATTTGTCTGTTTTTGTGACAGAAATGAACCCAAGAGAAGCTGAAATCATATGTATTTATATATTTTTATATTTGACCAGACTCCTCTGCAGCATGTGGCGCTCTAGGTGAGCAGCCTGTATCTTATCTCCCTCCTCTGTTGACTATTTTTCAGCATCACTGTAGAGACCCCAAACAAAAGGCGTGTTCATTCAGGGAGGCCGAGAGACGGAGAGCAAAAGACACGTTCCTTCTTCTGCCAGGCATCCCATATTTCCTGTCTGCATCCACGCTGTAACCGAAGGAGACATTTCACACCCTCACCCTGCGGTGAGTTCAGTCCAACACTCAAGATTTACCTCGCTGACCCTCAGTGAAGTTACTCTACTCTGATGATTTCTGATGATTTTTGTATGGAGTCTTGACCTTGTTTTTAAAAATGATCCAGGATCATCTGCTTTCTTCACACATGTATTTTAAGGCTGGGGTTTAAATCGCTGTTTTGAACGTCCACACTCAGAAGGTAGAGGTGACAGTAGAGGCCTGCAAACACAAGGACTGCCAGGCAGTTTAATAGTGAAGGCTCCTCCCCCTGTAGGAAAAATTCTGGGTTCAAATCCAGGTCTGCCTACGTGGGTTACAAAAGACACCCTGTCCTAAATTAAAATGGTTTTATTCCAGGGCAGAGACAGATGAAGATGAGGAAGGGAAAGGAGACCCTAACCGTAGAAAGGGTTCCTTCCATCTGGCCAATCAGAGAGCTCCTAACATTTATCTAATCAGAGACCTCTTATTTAGCCAATCAGAATGCATCTTCTATTCCCTTAAACTGTGAAAAAGCTTAAAACATGATTGAAACCTGAAGAATGTGAGCAGTAATAATGAAGTTTGTTGTTTTGGCACATAAATGTTAATTTTAGCATCATCATCATTATTCAAATAGGAGACCTGACAGTTCATTGTAAAGCTGATGTGTCTCTTTTTGGTGGTTTTGCATGTAAAATGTCACTAGGTGGCAGTGCGCTTCTATGCAGATCATTTCGAGTTTGTCTCCTCTCTGTGATTAAAGAGACAAATCAGAGCAAACTTCTGAGCTCCTGTCGCTCTCCCTTTCACTCTCTCTCTCTCTCTTCTGTCTTCCTCTTCCTCACCTCTGCCTGCTCCTGTAACTGTACAACAAGTTCACTCTCTGATTTCACTGAGTGTGCTTTGAGTTAAAGTAAAACTAATGATGCTCATCAGCGTCTTTTCTCAGCGCTCCGTCTGTCATTTATCAAGATGTGTTGACTGGACGGTGTTTGATTACAGCTGTTATCTTCACATGGAGGCTTTATACCGGGATGGGTGGACTAATCACTCTGATCACTTTTCCATTCAACTTAATTGATTTTAAGCAAAGTGCCAGATATTTCCCACTCCGCCTCATTTTGACAAATGAGTGTCAGAGGCCAGCGGCTCTCAGCAGCTGGGTGTGCTCCTAGCAAAACCAACCGTGAAACACAAGGACAACGCCTGCAGCACTTAGTGTCCTTTAATTGCCATTTACATAGTAGGCTAATCATTATTTTTTATATCCCCTATTATCACCACCACAATCAGCCCTCTCCTCTCCCTCTCCGTCCCCGCGGGCTGAAACAATAAGCTGTTTGTCAGAAGTGATGCTCTGATGGTCGGCTCACTGATGGAGGACCTGATTTTAGGGGAAAGACAACAGATTATTTCAGAGTGGCACAGAAAGTCACAGCAGAAAGGATTCGGATCAAACCGGCGCCTTTATCATTTAGAGACACGGACAGTTCATGTTTTCTGTGATGTATCGGCGATTCTGGAGAAAACTTACCATCATTTTCCAGCAGAATCAGAAGTAAACACCAAGTAATGATAAAACATTCAGATTAGAGGTCATAAAAAGGATAAAATTTAGTCTAAAAATATCATTTAAGGTCAAAACAATCTATAAAATTTTACAAAAGTTGAGGTGATTTCTTCAAACTGCTTCAAATGTCTAGAAAAAGGTCCAAATAAGAAGCGTTTTCTTAAAGATCCTAAATTATGACTCCATTAATGATCACAGGTGTTTGTCTCACCTCAGAGGCCTAAAGGCTTAAACTATTAACTTCATAACAGAGAACAAGAGTTTGGGATCACGATTACATGATCCAGGTAAAAAAAAATAAAACCCTATGGCACCTAAATGTCAAGATTAGAGACATGAAAATTTAAAGTTTGAGGATAAATTCAGACTTTAATCCTTTAAATCAGATTTATTTTTTAAGATTTCTGACTTTTACTTCAGTTTTCTTACATTTCCAAACACCAGCTCATCACAGATTTTTACATGAACATATTTGCTTTATGGATTTGTCCTCTCATCTGGTTAAAATTTGATTTAATTATTTTCTGCTCGTATTATTCGATTAAAGCTCGGTGGGAACAAACCTGTGGTCTGTTGCATAAAGCTGCACATCTGCTCTGCAGATCCTCCCCTGCTCATGAGAACACAGTGTTATATTTTAATAATGGTACTTTAGGACTATTAAAATATTCTTTTCTAATTAAAATAAAACAGCCGAATGTTTCACTCCTGAAAAATCTGTAGAAAGGTCATCCGAGCAGAGTGCAGTCGCTCTCTGTCTGTTTCTGACCTTCTGATAGTTTTTTTCCTATAAATATAAACCCAATAATCAAAGTCATATTAATGATTACTTTCACTGTGTGTTGTTTTGTTTAGTTTCACTGTCTGTTAAATAAATCATGATATCTTTACGATCGTGGGCC